TGTTCCCTCTAAGATGTGGAATCCTGTGAGCAAAAATTCTACTTTGTGAGCTGCTGGCATTCAAGTCGTGAGCGAGCAATTTGGCAACTGCATGAATTCGTTTGCTCTGGAGCCGTCCTTCCTGAGCCAAGACAGAAGTGTGTGAGCCGGAGGCTAAAAAACTGTGAGCTGGCTCACACTGACTCAGCTTAGAGGGAACACTGCACCGAGGGCATGTTTGTGGCTGAAATGAGAAATGAAATGAGATTCGAACTGGCAGCCTGCTGGATTCATTCTCTTATCCTCTAATCCAGGGTCTCCAACCTTTCTGAGCCTGCAGGCACACTGGGAATTCTGACATGGCAGGGTGGGTGCAGCAAACAGAAGGGCTGCCTCAAAATGGCTGCCAAGGGGAGGCGGGGCCAGTAACAAAATGGCTGCCGCAGCTCACCTTCAGTCACACCAGTGAAGATCCTTGTACTGTGGTGGCAGCCGCCGCCAAAGCACAATTTAAAAAAAAATCAGCACAGCCAATCAAATCTCTAAGGGTCAACAGAAGTGTTTCTAAAACACTTGACGGGCACAAGGAAAGGTGTCGGCAGGTGCCACGGTTCCCATGGGCACCACACTGGGGGACCCTTGCTGGTTTGGTGAAGTGGTTACGTGTGCAGACTCTAATCTGGGAGAACCGGGTTTGAGTCCTCACTCCTCCACATGCAGCTGCTGGTGTGACCTTGGGTCAGTCACAAGTTCTCTCGGAGCTGTTCCCTCACGAGCAGTCCTCGAAAGAGCTCTCTCAGCCTCACCTACCTCACAGGGTGTCTGCTGTAGGGAGGGGGATGAGATTTTAAGCCGCTCTGAGACTCTGAATGAAGGGGGGGGTATAAATCCAATCCAATCTCCTCCTCCTCCTCTTCTTCTTCATGCTAGTTTTCAAAAAGCCAGAAAGTACCATGTGCACTTCAGTGGGTAGGTAACAGCTTTCCGCGCACCTTGGTGTTTAGTCATGCCGGCCACATGACCACGGAAACGTCTTCAGACAGCGCTGGTTCTTCGGCTTTGAAACGGAGATGAGCACCGCAACCCTAGAGTCGGACTCGACTGGCTTTCGAGCAAGGGAAACTTTACCTTTACCTTTTTACCATGTGCAAATCTCACCTCTGCCATTAGGGGTTCTTGGGCAACTCACAAAGCTTATCAGGAAGTAAATCCCTTTTAACTCACGGAGACTTGCTTCTGGGCAAAGTTCATGCCTAAGATTGCACTCTGTCACTCTCTCTCAGCCTCAGCTCATTGCCATCATCGTCCTGGCCTACCCTACAGGACTGTGGTACGGGATGCAAGAACTGCACTGAACACTCCGAAGGGACACACGAATGCTAAGAGTTATTATGAAGTATTTTTTCCCCAAGACTCTACTAAACACATTTCCATATCGGTGGCAAAGAGAAGCACCTTCAGCTAGCGTCCTGCATGCCTTGAGAAGAGCTTGTTTTGCGTCGCCCCAAGGTATGCTGGGACCGGTGCCTTTTTCTTCTCTTTTCCCTGAGCAGTGGGGCCCTTCAGAGCACTATGGCGGGAGAGCGCTTTGGAGGTTTCTAGGCTCTTTGAGAAACGAACTCTGTTTATCTGCAAAAACACAAGCTTAAAAAAAGAAGAGGTGGCATGGTGATGGGGGTTAGAGGGTGTAGGGAGGCCTGGGTTCGAATCCCCACTCTGCCATGGAAGCCTGCTGGGTGACCTTGGGCCAGTCACATTCTCCCTCACAAGGTTGTTGTGAGGATCAAATGGAGAAGGGAAAGATGCTGCGAGCCACTTTGGGTCCCACCCCCCCATTGCAGAGAAAGGCAGTGTATAAATGAAGTAAAATTAAATAAATAAAGAGCACACTGAAGCAAGCGTGCCAGCAGGATTCTCACCCAAGCTTCCTGCTCCCTAAAACCTCACAGGTGTTCAGCACCTACTTGCTGATCCCACTACCTTCATGGGCTTCACGCTGTACCAGTCTGCCGACCCACACGTCCCGGTTCTACCCTCATCAGGTGGCAGCAACCAAACTGTATTGCCACGCGTGGCACCTTCGTCCCAGATTCTCACACGGAATGCTGGCGACAACTCACCTGCAGTCCCGGCGGACATTTGTGAAGGGAGCTTTCGCTCGTTCATCGGATAGTCGCCCAACGAGGACCTCCACTTGAACAGTCTATTATCACAGGGGTCCCCATCCTTTTTCAGCCTAGGGTCACATTTGTAATTCTGACAGGACAGGGTGGGCGCAGCCACAAAATGGCTGCCGCAGAAGGTAGAGGCGGCCACAAAATGGCTGCCGCAGGAGGCAGAGCCGGCCACAAAATGGCTGCCGCAGCTTACCTTCAGTCAGTCAGTGAAGATCCTTGTGCTTTGGCGGCAGCTGCTTCCAG